AGTGGATTTACACACACCTACATATACATTAACATCACTTATATTGTGTCTAAGATTATTTATATATTTGGCCTGGCGCTCTGAATCGTGCATGAATCATGGCATTAATTCTGGAAGAAACGTGCGAGATTTTGAATAATTAATAAAGCAACCAGTAAAATAATATGAATTATAATTGTATGCTAGCAAAAATTTACATATACTGCACACATTTCGGATTGCTGTCTTTTAATCAAGTTACTACGTATACCAAAATCTCAGATTTATATTGTTTAAAAAATATATTATTTTATTTTAATTTGATATAAATAATTTTAAAAAATCGGCACAGTACAGATGAAAAATTACAAGAAAAATATTGCTGCAGAATTTGTCTTACAGTTAGATTAAACTTTCAGAATTGGATTATTTTAAAATTATTAGTTGAAGATTACGGACAATCGATTTACTAAAAACGGCAACAACAAACGACAAATAGTAATAGATTAGATAAATCCGTGAGGTGCAATACGGAGTTCATTGTTCTCGATCGAGTATGATAATTTCAAGTCGCAACCGGTTAAGATTTTGCGCGCGACATTACATTACGCGAGGAAGCGCATTCGAGGCGCGTACGAACGCGCGCGCGCTAAAAAGCGGCGTTCGACAATCTGAAGTGGAAAAGGCGGGGGTAATTTTTCGAAAGAGGCAATTATCGATTCGTGTGGTCCCCGCGATGGCGGCGGTTGCAAAAAGCGGATAGAGACATCGGCCACATTCCATTGTACAAAAGGCACGTCGGGACACCGACCGATACCGACCACGCGCCTTTTTTCCTGCCGCCTTTATCTTGGTCTTTCTACTTAATATTTCGGCCGCCTGGGACCACCCATAGATCTCCTAACGCACAATATTCAATGCGATAATGTCCGGCGGCGAAAACCAAAAATTTTTCACCAAAAGCGTACCGCAATGATCTACTACTTGCGGCAACTCCACTGAACATCTCTACCGGAAATATAAATGAATAATTCTTAGAACATCTGCGACCCTGGATAGGCGCCGAAACGGCAGTCCAGGGTTGCATTCAAAAACGTCCCCGAGTACATTTTTTTTCTAAATTACTGACAGAAGTGATTTTCTATATCACTGACGTAGACGTTTTCGAACTCAGCCCAGACAGGAAGTATACGCCATTTTGATGTCTACGATGACTAGAGTTCGACCGAAATCTCTTTTTAGTTTCGGCCAAAACCGAAAACCGATATTATTAAATTATAATTTAAATACTGAAAAAATTATTAAATTAAAAAAAATACATTTATTTTAATACTGCTAAATGAATCATTTATTTGAAACAAATAAATATTTATTTGAAAAAGATTTTTTTATATCAAATTAATATTATTAGTTTCAAATAAATTATTTATAAGGCAGTATTGAAATAAATATTTATTTGAATTCAATAAATTTTTTTTAGTGTAATATTTGTAATATGATGAGAGATTTTATGCAGTCGATAAGTTTGAAAGATGATGTCGGAATTAAAATTTAAAACAGTGAAGAGTTACATCTATTTAAAATATTTCTTTACTTTACTGAATGTATCGAAAAGAAAATTGCTTACCACTTTGAAGAAAGTGAGATTTGACAATTTCTTGACACGTGTCAACAGTCATTAATTCCGCTGTTCATGGCAATAAAGACTCCCATCTCAAAAGATGCGCTAATCAACGAAGGATATATCCCGATATGTCCCGATAAAATATGTTTAAAAAAGTAGGAGATAAATAATAAGTAATTGTATGAATTTTGTGGCACTATTGCAACGCCTTTGGAAAATCCGAAGTTTGAAGGTTGGCAAGATTCGTTTGCTTTCACGAGTCAACGATGTATTATAACGAACAAAAACAAAAAAAACAAAAGGGTCGCGTGACGATATATCATGCAATACAATATAAACTCTTATCGATGTTTTGTATTGCATACATAATTGCCGGGAAATCCGAATTTATATTTTGATTGGCGAGCAAATTAATCATTATCATGTAATTATTTTCTGTAGTCTGTAGCTAGACATTTGATATAATGAAGCAAGTTTATGTGTATATTATTATTATCTCGAATATATTTAAATAAAATTGATAATTAAGACATGCTTTATTTGGTACAAACTAACATAACATATATTTTTGCAATCAAGCAATCTAGTAGATTTTATAAATATATTCAATTGGTAAAATTAATATATATGAACTTACGTTTAGATTAATTAATTCCGTTGTTCGATCGAAACATTATTTTCAAAATATGTGCGTAAGTCAACTATTTGTGAGATAAGTGCGACGTATGTACTTGGGTACTTGCGTCACTCTATCAATGAAATTTCCATGAACATAAACAATTGGAGAATTTATCCTCCTGATATCACAAGCATTACATATCATTATAGTGCATTTAACAATGTTTCGAAATCATACACGATGATGTATGATGATTAGTGTGCGTTTAATCATGTATTTTATTTGTCATAAATACTTAATCATTTAAAACTTACGATTAATTATTCTCAATGTATTATATAATGATTTTATTCTTAATACTTAATATTTAATTATTTAATATATTTTAAAAACCTCTTATTATAATATTATTCTATGCAAACGTATCATTTATAAAACTTTTAAATTCTTTAAAAAATAAATATTAAAAAAAATTACTAAATAGTTTTTATCGACATTTTATTTCTTATTTTTGTTAATAAAACAGAAAAAATATATTTTAAATGCACAATACGTAAATTATCAGTATAATTAATATCAACTGTTCCTATATTATGCAGCGGAAATTTGTTCTTGTATGTTTGATTGGTTCTTATCTTACTCTGGTTACAGACGAAATCATCTGACTTTTGAATTGAACTTCGACTCTCGAAACTCCACTGTCGATTTGACAACAAACTGGTGCCTTATGTGCTATTTTAGTTGATTTCAAGTATACCATGGTAGAAGGAGAGCATATCTTAGACTTAAAGTGCATCCGCGGCCACGATCGCCAGACACTGAATTACGAAGATATATTTGCATATCATCAAATATAACTGATAAAAAGGACTTTAGATTTAAAATATTTTATAATTGGTTAATAATTGTTATATATATTATATATTGTTTGACACTTAGAAGGCCCAATAAGTCGAAATTAAAACCTACATTTATTATATTGTATAATATTAGCATTAAACAATCAATTCTCACATCTAATAACATTGCATGAAAAATGTTTCTTAAATGCAAAATTACACTACGTTTCTATAAAAAATTGAATTAATTTATATGTAATTCAAATGTTAAAACAATTTTATACATATTTTTGTACAACTTGTCAAGTGTGAATCAATTTCTCCAATCTATATATGATGTGAATCAACCCTTAATCTCATGCTTTCTCCAATCTTTGATTCACTCTCGCCTTCGTCTTGTCTGGTTGTAACCGTCTGCTATTATTTTTAGCGCATGATCACTACGCCACGCGAAGGCGAGGGGAGAAAGGAAGGGAGCGTTTGTAAGACGGCTCTAAAGCCGACTGAGTATATTAGGTCATCCCGCAGGCTTGGCTTGCATAATTATCGGCTCTTCTGTCACCAAAGGCCGACCTGCATGTAACACTGTTGCGTTGCTCTTATACCACACCCTCAGTCGTGGCACTCATCAACATGGTATGCGTAAAAATGAACAATGTGAGATCGTACAATAATTTGAGAATTTCTGTTCTATTGTTGTGATTACGAATTATACGATTTTTTTTCTCTTTTTGCAAAATTATGAAAATATATTAATATATATATCAAATATTTAAAAGAATAATTATTTTATATGTACATTGCACATGCATCTTATAATAAAGCGTAATGCTTGAACATTATTAATTGAAGTTCATTGATTCAAAGGTGTGCAATGACACATGTGGAAACTCCTGCTAATAATCGTTAAACACTCTCCTAAGTCTCGTTAATAAGTCACGAGGAAAGATGCTATTTTGTGCAAGTAACTACAGTGTAAGAAAGTCTTGCCAGGATTTTCCAATTGTGTCATGAAACAGCTTGTATCAATAAATATTGAAAGGTCTGGTGCGTCAAGTAAAAAATATAATGTAAAAAATTTAATTAATTAATTATAGTTGATATATCAGCACTTTATCAGTAAAAAAAGATCGATTATGATAAAATTTTTATTCACATCAAAAACTATTTTTACATATACGTTTCGATATATATAGTTAAATTTATCTATTAATATATAATCGAGAATTAATATAAATTAATATTTACTGATAATATAATACGATATAATTATTAAATAGTTTTATCATTAATTTGAAAAAATGTTTTAGGTAAAGTTAAATATAACTTTTTGTGAACATTGATGATATCACTTTGCATGTTGTATAAAGCAATAACTACTGCGTTTACGATACATCATAATATCATGAATCTATATATAAATCTAGATGAGTAAGTCGAGTTCACTCATAAAATTTTCTCCGTAACGTGGGAAAAGTACGGAAAAACATCTGAATCTTGATACATTAGAGTTTTAAAAATCTTCTATCCATATGGACAGTGACTAGTATTCTTTTGTACGTCACAGAGTCAAGCACGATTTTTGGTGTTGTTATACTTTTTCTAATAAGAATCTCTTTTTCATTTCAATTATGGCATGTAGTGATATAATAAATAAATTTAATTTATCTTTATAAATTTTCAGTTCTAATAGTGTGTTTTAATAGGTACTGTAAAACGTAATATAAAAAAATATTGTAAACAACATAATTTTTCATATGAAATGTGTGAAGTGTGCGCAATGCAAAATATATAAATTTTTATATTTTCTTATTTCTTTCAATTAATTTTTATAAACAAATGTATTATACATATTTGTTATTTAACAGACACGGTTAATCTGAAGTAAATAAGTGTGAATAAGTTATTGTGATGATCAATCAAAATTTGTACTCATTTATTCGCCAAGAATACATGATATTAACCTATTGCTGAGGTACAATGCAAATTATATTCGCGACGCCTTCGTCTAGACGATATCCTTTTTTCCTAAGAAAGTGATGTTAGAAGTCAATTTTGTGGCTGTCATCTGGCCGCTTCCGGACATACAACATCCGTCTGCTGGCGAAACTATTCATAAAGATTCTCGGAAGTATAAATGATCAATCGAGGAACTGAATATTTCGAAATTAAATTCATCGTTCATCAAAATAGCTTTCCATCTTAGATTATACATATATATATTTATATACGTATAACTACATTTTTAAATTACTTTTAAATAGTTAATATGGTATTATATATAAAAAATCTGGTATTATATATAAAAAAGTATAAAACAGATTATATTTAAAAAAAGTATTTAAAAAATTGAAATTTTATTATTAAAACGAAAAATTTCTTTAAATTATTTTATACACTACAATTTAATATTACCAAATACAACATGTTGCGTGAAGTTTATAGTACAACAACCTATCAGGATAAATGTGTATTTTCCTATCTATGGGATGCCGTAAGACGATGAAAGGCCACCGATTACCGTGTGTGTTAATGGATATCGCATTTGCATCTCCGATACTGTTGTTTCGCGCGATGCATCGACGAAGAAATCATCGGCATCAAGGCAAACGACTCAACGAGAAAAATTAAACGAACAATACGCGTCTCCCTAATCGTCGAAGCTTGACTTCGATGTCACGGATGTCATAATAATACACACATGTAGCACGTTTTGCGCGCTTCGCGATTTTTTTTATATATCGAGTATTTCTGTCTCTCGTATCTGTCATTTGGCACGCTCCCAATCAATTTCACAGTACGCGTCAAACCATAATTTTAAATCAACGTCATTCCCATTAAGCGCAAGAAAAAATATTATTTTTCTTCGCTAAATAACGCGACTCATTAAAATGCTATTAAATAATAAAATAGATTGCGGCCGATTACGTTTTGCGCGATGCTATCACGTAAATGACCTTTCCGCAATGTTTGACGTCAGTGCGGTACTGTGTGTGACGGATGTTACATGATAGATTATGTTACACCGCAAAGATGCTCGTAGAGAATGTGTCACTATTAATTCGAATTTTCTGCGATAGCAGAATTCAAGTAAAGTACGATCGATCCGTCACAAGTATGACACTTTCGTTTTCCGTGGGTGCCAGAAATGTGGGCGCGAAATTTTATGTTTCACGACGACTAGCCGCCCACGTGGCCGATCCAACGTCACGAGTGCTACGTCATAGATTTCTTAGACTTGAAGAAGTATTTCGAGCACGTTACCGTTATCGCGTAACAGTTCTCATCGCAAGAATGTCATCAGCTATAACTTCATTCGGTAACGGATGTAAGAGCAACTTTGTCGCTTCATTGTCGAAACAGGATGTATCAATGTGTCGTGGAAATTTAATCTCAGAGATAAGGCACAATGTATTGAGAGGGACAGTTATCGTATGCACTCGACTGGTATTAATTACACATATAGCGTCTATCGCGCGCGAGGTATACATCTTGAAGAATAAGTTTAGATACCTATGCGTACGCAACTTTGATAAATACCCGTGAGAACATGAATAGCTGTAGTTAAAACAAATAATCGTATTTCAAAATTATATATTATAAATATTTTGAAAAAAAAAATTGCTGACAATAAATGACAATTTTTGCTCTAGAAAATTGTAAAAAAATAATAGCAAAGTATTCAATTGACTTACCTTATCTCTTGTGAAGAAATCTGAGCGGAAAAACGCGATCTGCAACAGAAGAAGATAAGAATTGATTGTCGTCAATTTCATAACAGATTTCTTAAAATATACATGTTCGTCATTGAGTTTTCTCGAGTTGCATGAAATTTTGACGTCTTTCGTCTATCGGGGATAAACACGAAGATGCGAAGTCCGAGATATTTTAAAGCTTTATGCAACGATTACGTTACACGTCGAGCAGGATATTCTATTGGAATATCCCCCGTTGCATTTATCCTGCGGTCACCGTAAGTCCGTAAGTCAGATTTACCGCTGCTGTAATAGTTGCTTGGCGGAAGAAAAAAAGTAGTCATCCTTCAAGTATGCGGGTATTGTTTCTTAATAATATGCTTTGAATCATGCTCAGTTGGTAGACGAGTCTTCGAGATGCATCGCATTCGATTGTTGTGCCGTGCAATGTATTTATTGATGTCATAGCAAAGGTCAGCTTGCTTCTATGCGTTTTCATGTCCTCTTTCGAAAAAATTATATACCTATCTATATATTAATTATGTAGTAATATAATGTACACTCTTCTGCATTATTAGACAGAATTTAAAAAAAACCAACAAAAATAGAAGCATATATACATATACATTAAGTATAGTGACTTTATATTAAAGAAAATATTGAAAAGTGTGTATGCATTAAATTTATATTTATATAAACTAAATAGACTAAATATTCTTATAGAGTAAATAACGAATAAACAGGATAAAAATTGAAATGTATGAAGAAGATAAAAAGTTGTAATATTATCTTGTTTTTTATCCTAGACCGGAAGATATTAATTACACACATCGCTTCTTGTCAGATTAATTTTTCTCACGCAAGCAAGACCAGGTGGACCGATAAGAAACACTGCAACGGACTCTGTCATATGTGATCAACATTGTAGATGTATTGCACCTGTTTTAGCGACTTCTTCGTAATCACCATAGACTTCTTCAAAGTAAAGGCCAGTTGTGCTGGGTTTAGGATGCCAGTGCAAAAGCAGCGAGTGTAGTTGTGTGTATCATTTATACTTTCCTGACACTGCATACTAAGAAATCGTTCTAGTCAGACCATCTGTCTTGATATATTCTAACTTAGACAATATGTCTCGAATATCTCAATATTAATGTCTATCTTAATTGCAGTTTCATATTATGATTGTTTTGTACTTATTTTGGTCATTTATTTCTTTGCAATATATATATATATATATATAATTTTTTTAAGAGTATTTATATTTTTCCTTTTTTTGTTTGTATTATATTTATTTAATTATTTATATATTTAATATATATAATACATCATTAAATATATATGAATTTATAACATATTAATATATATGATTATATTATAATTAATGTATGTTTATGTATAAAAATATACATAAATTTTCGTCAGAGTAATGTGTTTAAATCAGATCTTGTGTATAAATTTTCTAGATTAAGAGATTTTCTCTAGAAATACACAGGACACCCTGTGCATGCACATATTACGATCGCACGATGGCACGTGGTCGGAGCAGCCGGTGCACACTCAAGTATACACTTGTCGCTTGCAGAGCGCTGGTATGTACAGATCATTTCCTCCGGATGATTCATCGTCATGCCGATGCCCTTCAGGGTTGAGACGATGGATCTTCACTTGGGGTCAGAAGATCGCACGATATTATGTTACTCTCAGAGTGCACCTGTGCAATGTGCAACCCTTGTCTCAACTACAATACGCGCTTATTTAGAATACATTCCAATGGAGATTACTTTCTCCTAGTGGTCTGCTGGTGGTCTTCCTTCGATTCTTTAGATATTTGTTATTCTTGTCTTAAGATATTTGTTATTTTCCTAGATAAGATTTCTAGCAAGGTCTACAAAGCTGCCGCTTTGAATTTTCTACGCTTATTCATGTTCTCGTTCAAAGTAGTCGTCTCGACTAAAGTAATACTTTAAACATTTGTGTCATTGTATTAATTTTTTTAGTTATATTCATTTGTGGTTTATGATAATCATATAATTTGGTCTCTTAGGAATCTGTTTGAGAACTTTATCACTTTTGTTATGTGACAAATACATAGTTTTGTATTACTATTTCATTAATGAAAGAACTTGTGTTACAATCTTAGTGGCTAGTGTTTAATCTTTAATTACGTTATCGATACTCTGGCCACAGTTTGTTATTATCAAAGATCATTTTACTCGGCCGTCTGCTAGCTATCCGTTTCGATACAAAGTACAAACAGAACTAAGAAGGTTGCATATCATCGATAGTGATATGATGCATTTAAAACATTTATTCATGTTACTTATGTAATTTTTGCACAAGCATCTCTTCGTTATCTAAATAGACTTATTTAATGTTTAATTATTATTTAACTATTTAATTAATATTTAATTATTTAAATATAAATTCTCAAAGAAATAGAAATAGTTTTTGTCTATTTGTTAGTTACCAATTTTTATAATAAAACAATCTATTAATTTATAAAATAAAAACGAAATAAAGCATATTACTTAATATAGAAAAAGTAGAACTTTATTTATTTGATTTTTATAAATAGTATAGCTATGGGAAGAGTATTTCCGGAATGTATATCAAAATAGGTGCAATTTTCGTGAGGCGCCGGTTGGCTTTGCCTTCAAGGGCATGCTTGTAAGAGGATTGAACGTCAATAGGATCGTCGAGACCGTTTGTTGAATCATCACGATTCAATTCCAGGAATGCTCCATTCATCTCGGAGCAATGTCTTCGTAAAGGACGCATACATCGAAGGTCTTGCAAAATCGATGTACTTGCTTAAATGTTTTCATAAAGGACGCATAAACAGAATGTCTTGCAAAATCGACGTATCTGTTTACGGAAGAGTCATTCTAATTTCATTCCGCAAAGCGGTTGTAGTCTTAAGGACATGTCTTTCCAATATAATAACAAAGCGACCAACATTTTAAAAATGTCACGTTTACATTGCCATTTGGCACAATCAAAGAAATATTTAATCATCTCTTATATCATGGTATAACGCTATTTTTATGTTCCAATGGTGCTATCTTTCGCAAGTTATTAAAATTAAAAAATATATTTTTCCATAATTTTTGATTACAAATTTATAAATTGTTTTTATTTACATATTTTTTACTACAATTATTATATTCACTAGAATTATATTATTATTCAATGCATTACTGCATGTTTTCTAATCGTATACATGTTTGTAGATTACATAACTAAGATACGGATTTTCCCCTATTTTATACCTTCAGACATATGAACTCATTTACGCTTATGATGACGTGGCATACTATTTTTGCGAGTCAGTGATTACTCATTCATAGTATCGTAGATTTTCTGTCCATTCAATGGAGCTTAAATAAACTTTGGATTATTCTCTTCAAAATTGTTATGTCTGCGACAAGTACATGTTTAATACGAAATTATTGCCTGTAATATTTCTGCGTATTTTCACCTGCGTCACTGCTTTGGACCGTTTCCAGCGATCCAAGGTATTACGTAGTGTGTCTAAGTAAACGCATATACCTAATGTGAAATGCGCTGAAAATTCGGTCGGAACTATTTTGTAAGCCGGAGACGCGGCACGCTTTGAATACTCTGAATCATTGCGAATGAATTCCCTTCACGATGGGCGGTGGACCACCTTTTTCTCAATCGTTTAGTCACGATACCGTGTCTTTTGGGATCTTACGCAAGATGGAATCCCGTTACATAGCGCTTCGCTTCTTGATTTTTACGTCGCGTCGCTCTTATGCAAATCTCTTTCTCATTCATGCAATCGTACGTTCCGTCATTCCCTGGATATGCGGACATTTCTGGATGGTACTATTGCAAAACATTGTGTAAGATGTAGTTACAATTATTACATTATTTATAATATTAGTACTAATGTGCAGCGCACATTACATACGCCATTTATGCATTTTAATTTATTATTTTACTTTATTAGAAAGTTATATATATGTATACATATGTATATTTTATTTAATTTTTAAATAATTTTTATTAACCTTTAACTTACTAATTTTAAATAATTTTTACTTTTTAAGTAACTTTTAAGTAACATTTTTGAAATTTTATTTATCTAGACGTAAAAACAATTAAAAACTCAACATTTCTCTTAATTTTTAAACCTTTGCCAAGGTTTTATCACAAACGTCTAATAGATTTAATGTTATTTTAATTTTCTAAAAACACTATTATTTTTAATACTTTTATTTGAGAAATTTTTTTTTAATACTCCACATCGATTTTTATTATCAAATATTTTCTGCGAAAATAACATGTTACTTCAATTTATATGTGTATTAAATATTTAAAAAATTATCAAAATCTTTAATAATAACGTAATTTCTAATAATAAATTTTTCAATATTGTTACAAACTCAAAAAAAGTGTATAAGTTATATGTATAATTTTTCGTCGTTCAAAAGTAGTATTATAAACTGGAAAAGCTTTTATCAAATAAATAAAATTACATATACTTACTTAGTAATTTATTTAATATTTAGGTTGTAAAATTATATATTTTTAATAATGAATCGGATAGGTAGAAAAATAAAAATAAATATTTTAAGTAAATAAGCCATACATTTTCTGATGTATCATATAAATATACATTATTTTTAAATCTATTTCTAATATCATTAAAGAAATTCCGAGAAACATATTTAATTTGCAATAAAAATGCAATTTCCTAAGATTATTTATGTGTATCGTTGTAATGCATCGCAAGGCCTCTTTTTATATCTGTTATTCATTAAGGAGAAATACATCTATGTATTATATGCGTAGATGCCAAGCGATCGGTTTTTGCGTAAGACGTCCAGACGATACCGAGGCGTAATTATCATTCACTTGAATCACCTCTCGGCTCTCGCACCGCCGCAAACACATCGTTTGTTGCGTCTCAATCCGAGTACTGAGGATCAATTTCGCGGAATTTGCCTTCGACTTTTGATCGAGGCCATTAGAGATTTAATAGCGAGTCGCTCGTAATTTCTGAATTAATTGTT